AGGAGGAGTAACCCCATGCACCAGTACAGGCTGGGGGTTGACCTGCTGGAGAGCAGCCCAGCGGAGAAGGACCTGGGAGTCCTGGTGGACGACAAGTTGCCCATGAGCCAGCAATGTGCCCTCACGGGCAAGAAGGCCAATGGGGTGCATGAGGAAGAGTGTGGCCAGCAGGTCGAGGGAGGTTCTCCTCCCCCTCTACTCTGCCCTGGTGAGGCCACAGGTGGAGTACTGTGTCCAGTTCTGGGCTCCCCAGTTCAAGAAAGACAAGGAACTACTGGAGAGAGTCCTGCGGAGGGCAACAAAGATGATGAGGGGACTGGAGCATCTCCCTTATGAGGAAAGGCTGAAAGAACTAGGTCTGATCAGCCTGGAGAAGAGAAGACTGAGAGGGGATCTCATCAATGCTTATAAATACCTTAAGGGTGAGGGTGTCAAGAGGATGGGGCCAGACTCTTTTCAGTGGTGCCCAGTGACAGGTCAAGGGGCAACAGGCACAAACTGAAACATGAGAAGTTTCATTTGAATATGAGGAAAAACTTTTCTTTGAGGGTGGCAGAGCACTGGCACAGGCTGCCCAGAGAGGTCATGGAGTCTCTGTCTCTGGGGATATTCATAACCTGCCTGGACACAATCCTGTGCGGGGGTTGGACTAGATGATCTCCAGAAGACCCTGCTAACCCCGACCGTTCTGTGGTTCTGTGAAATAATCTTCAATAAAGTATATGTACAAAGAAATTAGGAAAAAAATTATGATGGCATACACTGTTGTCAAAAAATGCTCTGGAAAGTCAGTGGTGTGTGAAATAAGCTTCTTGGATTTACATATTTGATACAGATTTAACTATATAAAGACTACACTGGCAAATAGAACAGTATTTTTATATCATATTAAGCCCCTATATACATTTTAAGGTACCTAAAATAATAGACTTCTGAAAGATGCACATGACCTCCTGTGACCACTACTTGCAAAGGATATTTGGAAATTCGACCTTTTAATTAAAGGCTTCTATTTCTCCTAGCAAGCTCAGAAACTGATGCTTTATTTTAGCACCATGAAACATGTTGGTTTGCAATCTTTTTTACAGCTTTGTAAAACAAACAATATAATTAAAAGCTGTAGCTGCATTTTGGTGGAATCTGTAACAGAGTAAAATTAAGAATAAATTTATCTGAAGTTTATTTTGCTTTTCCTACTGCCATTTGGAAGGCATTCCAATCATATCTGCTATTGCTAGCAAGTAATTGTTTCAAAATCTGCATTGCATTTACTTTGACAATTCCTGTGTCTAACGCCAATCCTTGCTTCGCTGGTTTGAAGGCTATGTATGTCCAACCAATGGTCACAGACAGACTTACTTTTAATGAAAACTGGAAAATCAGATACTCCCTTTCAGTGAGGCACACTAATTTTATTTCTGTGATTATTTAGTTTGCTACAGGTTTCCCTCTTAACCTGCCATCAGCTGGCTTCCAGCTATGCTATGACAACAAAGAGAGCTCCTTTTTTAATAAGAATTTATATTCTTCCAACGCTATGCCCCCCCATCAGCAGTTAGTAGGAACACAAATGAAAAGGTTTGCCTGTTCACAACTACATAGTTTATTAAAATGTGTATTTTAAGATAATTAATGGAATAGCAAATGGGAATATAATAAATGCTGGAAAGTGTCTTCTCCATTTCTGAGCTGTTTTTGTTTCTCTTCTGAACTACTTGGTGCAAAGCAGAAGATGGCAGCTATCAATAACTGCTTGAGAGGGAGAAAAAGCTGATCAGTACCTCAAGACATAATCCTAGCCAAGGATAACATTCCCTGTCTTTGCTATACAAAGGTGTCTCTCAGGAGCAGTTTCTGAACTGCATCTAGTATTTTCCTTGGTTGGTTGGCTGGTTGGTTGGTTGGTTTGGGGGTTTGGGTTGGGTTTTTTTGTTGTTTGCATTGGTTCATTTTAAAAGCAAGATACATGCACTGTCTGCTTGGTCAGTTAACACTGATTAAACTGAAATCCCTGGTCAGATACTGCATCCGTGGCTGAGTCATTCAAATAAATCTAAAACCTATGCATCAACAGGAGCAAATAATCACAACACCCAATCAATCTCATTGATATTTTCTCTCCTTTTTCTCCTACCAGGCCCTGGACTGGCATTTCTAGCTTATCCAGAAGCAGTGACACAGTTACCAATTTCTCCTTTGTGGGCAATACTGTTCTTCTCCATGTTGCTTATGCTCGGAATTGACAGTCAGGTAAAACTGGTGTGAAAATTAATAACAAAGATACATTTCCTACAACAGTATGGTACAAGGGTGTCTTCTGTCTGTGCATCCTGCACTGCGAGCTGTCAGTGGTGCAGAATGGTTTCTGGAATAATCAGATAAATAATAGGAGGTACAAAGAAGAGGAAAGACTAAGAGGGTCAAGGTGCCTGGGATAGTAAGAAACTGATACTAAGATACTTTTGCTTTTTCATGAACCGTTGGAAGCATATATAAAATGTGCAGAAAATGTATTCTGCAGTCAAAAGGAACTTTCTTTGAAATCTTAACCTGTCAATCTTGATATTAAAAATACCTTTGCAATGTTCATCAATGTAGGAGACACTGGGATATGCTTTACAAGATTTAGATGCCATGAATATTTCTGAAAGGCAACTTCAGAACTTACCACATGGAGCAAAAAGATGCAGCACACATTTCGTTTTAAGTGTATGAATGTCAGGAGCAAATTCAGGAGGTGGTAGGCTTATTACTGAGGACATTCTGCATCTTAGTGTGTTCTGAAATCACTTCCCAATGGTATGGATCAAGACTTGATTGGTTCAGGCCTTACCTATGAGTTATAGGTGGTACCTGACAACTGGAAATGAATGGGAAGGCACAACCTAGAGGTTTCGCAAATCCAAATAAGATATTCTCCAGAGTTATTGTCTAGATTAAATAAGGAAATAAGGAAATAATGAAGTCATGCAAGCATTAAAAAAAATATTTATTGCAAAACGAACAAAAAAGCACACAAAACAAGAAAAGGGACTTTACATGCTAGAAAGGACTATGTCCAACAAAAGCATTCATTAATCAGTAATAACTTTGAAACAGATAGCAACTATATTGTAAGCACTTGTCACCATTTAAGGCTGGGCCAGCACTTAAAGCAGGTGGTAGATGCTCTCTGTTATCCCTATCCTTTCCCAGAAGGGGAAGGAGAGGAGAAAAGGGAGACACTTATGGGTTACAAACTTAAAATAAACTTTAAGAAAACAATAACAGTGAAAAGAGTATAAATAATACTAAACCTAATACTACTAATAATAGAAACAGAAAAATACAAAATCGATATTGCTCTTCCTGATGATGACAGGCGGGACCACATGCCGCACCGCAGCGGCTTGCAGTGCTCGCACGGCAGGGCAGGCACCCAGACGTCCCAGAACTCGACTCCACAGCAGACAGGAACTGGATTCAGGGATGCATGGATCGGGGTCAGAGGCAGCAGAGTGAGCAGAGTCCCACCAGGATGCCGCCTATCAGGAAGGCACTTGATGCACACACCATAAGAACGCCTGTAGTATTCATGTGGGTGGGCTGGAATACTGCATTGGTCAGTCCTTGGTCACCTGTCCCCTCTGCAGCTTCCTGGGGGTGAGACCCCTCCTCCGCCTTCCCCCCACGAGGAGCCCAGCAGAGCCCAAGAGAGCCCGCAGAGAACAAGCACACACCCATGGGCCTTTCTGCAGAACAATCCCGCTCCTGTCCCAGCAACAACTACAGACATTAGCCGCCATCAGCTCTGAAAGCGGGCACTGCCTGAAACCTGTAAGCTTCAGACAGTGCAGTTACTAAGAAAAATTAACGGAAGAAAAAAATAAAATCTACCGAAAGCAGAAATAGTTCTGTTTCAGCCAAACCAGGACAGCACTAAGGAAAGCCTTATTTTGCAAAGCATACTTTGAGGACTTTGTCAGGGAAGTCCCTTCTGCCTGCTGAAATGTTTGGTCCTTTGTATGTGACCAATCATAGGCAGATGTGTTAATCCACTTGCAATCAGTTGCAGTTGCCAAACCAGGACCTTAGAGTTATTAGCACAGTCTTTGTGGCACATAAAGGAATATGAGAATTACTAGCTCAGTGCTGTACTCGTCTTTCAGTAAAGAAAATCCATCATTTTCTATAAATGCAAGTTGACCTCAGCCTATGACCCAAAAACCCAAAAAGACCAAGAGGGCATTTTATCCTGCAACATGAAAGGAAGCTGAAAATTTATGTTTTCTATTTCTTTGTTTTTCAATAAGCTTCAGGCTTGACTTTAAAACCTATTGCTCAATCTGGGGGAAAACTACTGTGAAATTAATTGGGTCAAAAATATTCTTGAAAGAACTTGTCTCTAGGCAACTAATAGCTGAGGAAGGTAGTCTAATATTAAAAAGATTATATATCTACAGGCTGTCATGCTTTCTTCATTTTCTGTCTATCAGTGAAATGTTTTATACACTATAATGTACAGGAACTGTAACTATTGGTTAAATTCTGATTGCACTGCTGGAAATTAATAAAACTTTACATACATCCTGTTTTTTCATTATTTCAGCCATCATAATTATAACATTTATTTTGAATATATATGTACAGAAAAAAATCTGAAGTACAGCCATGCTTTCCATTTGGAGGACCACATCCTCAGCAAAAATCTTTTCTGGGGATACAAAAAGTATTTTATTTATTACATGTGAGAATCAATCTTGTGTCTTTAACCTTCAACCTGAAGCACTAATCTGATTAGACTTTTTGTGTCTATTGGCTTCCATGTATGTGAGTGAATCACAGAAAGGAGAAGTGTAAGTTTTTGAAGGATCTCGGGGTCAGAGCCTTAAACTGTAGGTGTATCGTCTTCTATCACAAGAACAAGCACTTTATGTTCATAAAGTGCATGCTATAGTTCATAGTTTGGAATTTTGAGTGTTTTTCTTGCTGGAAATCTTTTTGCAGAGATCTTTTTAGACAGAGATGAGGATATTCAGAAGCACTGCTTCCACTGAAGCCAAGTGAATTTCCATTTATCATTTAATGGATGCAGCCTTAGGCCAGCGATGGGTACTATTGAAAACTCCTCCCCTAAATGTAATCCTGCTGTTGTAGTGCATTGCATTGTATTTTATTTCTAACTTTACTTGCAGTTCTGCACTGTGGAAGGATTCATAACAGCTTTGGTGGATGAATTTCCGAAGTTACTGCGCAATCGAAGAGAGATCTTCATTGCTGTTGTATGCATTGTTTCTTATCTGATAGGGCTGTCCAACATTACTCAGGTATGTTTCAGAGAAGAATGTGATCTTATGTCTGACACACAGCATCTGTTTTATTTCTCCCTTCCCCTGCTCCAACCAGGAATTATTGCAAACCATTGAAGTGGCAGGGATCTATCATCAACACTATCTAAAGACTTCAGGTAGCAGACATTAACTTGTAAGTGTAAAATGCCTGTAGTCCTACATGCATCCTATATGCAGTTTGTCCTACTTCATGGTTCAGGTGACAAGAAAATACACATCTCTACAGTCCAAGAAGAGGTAGCTAGGGGTGTTCTCCATTGCTTCCTGTGATCTACTAGATTGCAAACTATTTGAGGGAAGCGATTGAATTATTGAACAAAAAGGAGTAAAGTGAAATTAAATCAGTTAATTGAATTCTAGCAGTAATCTAATTTTTGTCAGTATTGACCTCAAGCATTATAAGACTTTAACCTGTTAACTTTAATTAATTTACATTAATATGTCCCTAACTTATTTGCCACTGTTAGTTTGTAGCTTGCATTTTAATCTGTCTTTAAATTGGAGTCCTTTCTACTTATTTTAATACTTCCTTCTTATATGTTTTAGGGTGGAATCTATGTGTTTAAGCTTTTTGACTACTACTCTGCCAGTGGAATGAGCCTCTTGTTCCTTGTATTCTTTGAGTGCATCTCGATATCCTGGTGCTATGGTAAACAATATGTTTTTCTTTTTTCTGTAAGTTTTGCACATCATAAGGATAATTCATCTACTGATGCGTTCTTTTGTGTGTGCACATGCTGAGGGTGGAACTGAAATTGGCCTTGTTTTATATGCATATAATTCCACTGAGGACTCAAAGTTGGCTTGTGGAAGGTACTTCTGCCTCTTTAAAACACCCTGTGTATAAGCCTGGAAGTCATTAGATGCTAAGTATTTCAGGAATACTAAATAGGTGACATCTCCCTCTTTTTTCCCATCCTCCTTCCTTGGAAAGCCTGGATCTTCAGAGGTATTAGGTACTGCTGTTCTCAACATAATGACTTAGGTCTCTTGGACTTTGTAATGTTTCGTTTCCAGAAATGACTCTGTCACTCTAGGACCTTTCAGTGAGAGCTAGGCTCCTTGGTCAGTTGTATCTTGCATAATTGCCCTAAAATATCCAGGAGTCTGGACTGGCAAGCTCTGGGTATAAAGATTAATGAATACGTATCATATTCTTGCCAGAGTATTTGTGCATTTGACCTTAGTTCTGTGTTAGCAAGTCTAAGGACCTACTCCCACAATTACTAAGGCACTTTTTAGTTTATGTTACAAAACTGATTCAGCACTAGATAACTGGAGTCTTTCTGCTGTCTTTTAATGGGCTTAAGAGGATGGCATTTTATAGGGGAGAGATGCTCCATATGAATCCAGCAAATGTGAATGGAAAAATACACCAGCTAAATAATAAAGAAATCAAAGTTATAAATAATATGAGAGACATACATTTTAGAAGATGATGGAGTGCTGGTAGGTAGCAGGAGAACGGCTACTCTTTGATTTCATATGCAGTTCTGCATGTATATGGTGTGCATATATCCACACAGAGTGAGGCTGGTTAACGCTAGGATGGTTTGGAGTTTTTTTAATTTCATTTGCAAAATATAATTCTAAGCTCTTGTTCTAATAAGAAATTAACCAAGGGTGCTTGTTGCATCTGACCTTTAGATGTACAGAGTTCATCAGCCTTTGAATGGGAATAAGTTTGCTCATTGCTAATTAATTAATTATGATGTGGAAAAATTGAGAACAAATTATTCTTGGTGCTTCTGAGTTTACACATTTCTTTCCCATTCAGATAGGTGAAAAGTTATGTTGGGGTTTGTATAGAACTTCCAAATATACCTCATCATTTATGAGAGTGTCTCTCAAAACCACTGAGCTTTCAATTGAATCAATTGTCTGACGTGTTTCTATATTGTTTCTTATTTCTATATTTAGGTGTTAATAGATTTTATGACAACATCCAAGAGATGGTGGGATACAGACCCTGCATCTGGTGGAAACTCTGCTGGTCATTTTTCACTCCTATCATTGTGGCAGTAAGGAACAAACTTTTATTATATGATACAGAGGATGTAAATGAGGTGGCCTGTGTACTACAGCATTGTCATTTCCACCCCCACAGGTTCATATTAACTCTGACCTCATTCCTTTTTCAAGGATTTGAGCAGTTCCATTGAAGGCAATAAGCAAAAAACCAGTGTCATTAGAGGAAGCCTGTGCCCTAAGAAAAGAAGCCTTGTGCAATTTCAAGATTTGTATTAGTCCTCTGGAAATGGTAACTAGTCAAGAGTTTGATTGGCAGAGATAGAAAACTGTAAGAAACAAATTTTGACCTTTCTTGTATTCTTAGATAAAATTTAGCAATCTCTCTAAAGTCTAAAGGTTCTGTATACACAAAAATGCCCACATTTTGTAAACTGAATTCCTTCACAGGCACTATTCTGGTAACAGACTAGAATTATAAACTGATGTTCTTCTCTCATGGGATTCTGTGGCATATATTAACCAGTTTAAACTACCTTGCTACCATTTTTTCTGGCAAATCTTGCAAGGTTTGTGTATGCTGGAAACCACAGTACAGTCTTTTCCTGATTCTAAACTTTATGCAGTTAAGCCCATACAGTAAATTTTGAAATAATAAGCAAAGAAATGTAAATTTACTACACATAATGTAGTCAACCCTGATGGAATATAAAAAACTGTAATCAAGTAGACACTATTACACATGAGACAGTACTTCTCACTCACTGATATTTCTCTGATATTCCCATATAGGTAGTCACAAAAAAAGCAAAAAAAGGGTACTAAAGAGAGGCACAGAAATGTGTTTATATTGAGGATTCCTTGATTCATCTCTACCCAGATGAAGGCAGCTTTCATTTTTCTGAAAACAAGTGTTCAGCAAGGCATAAAAATGCATTTTGTTTATTTTATTTTAGCGGCATAGTAGGAAGTGACCAACATTGTATGTAAAACTTACCAGACTTCTCCTGTCTTGTAAAGTCTTCAACAGAATTTGTTGTCCAGTGCAAGTTCAGAGGTGGTGATGACAATGCACTAATAAAATATGCCTCTCCACATTCTCCTCTCTGGGAATATAATCTGCACAAGGCTGAACCTGGGATCAGAATGAGCTTCCTTCTTTGCTGATTCAGTTTAGCAGGTTTCCCTCATGCAGGCTGTTTTAGACATTTGAAACAGGCCAGAATAGGAGTCTTCCTTGGGAACTTAAAGGAAAAAATACCATGTTTGCAGGTCACCTGTTTGAAAACAACACAAAAGCAACCCACAAATGCTGCTGATCAGTGATACAATATACATGCGTATGCAGGTATTATTCCCCAGGACCCCCATCTTTCCCAATAGCCCCCTTCCCTCTGATTTTGTGCAGGTTATCTGAGGACTCTACTAGTACCAGTGGATTCCCCGTACCAGCATACCTGGATAATCTGAGATGCAGGTTATGTATGTGAAAATACAGTGTTAATTTGAAACATTAAGATTAATTTTGTTAAGAAGCTTCTTGGGAAACTATCTCCTCATCTCTTGTTATTGAAAAATTCAAAGTGGTTTTTGAATTTCATAGGATAAGATCTGTTATACAGACAAATCTGTAGCCACTTACTGAACCGCAGGTTCTATTCTCACTGCCCTCATTTTCCATTACGAGTTTGTTCAGAGGATGTCAACAATATTAAAGCCTCTGGGCCAAGCACTCTTAGGTGGAGATATTAGAGAGGTCAGTGCAGAGACAGGCTTTAAAGAGCATTTCTTACTCAGAGCCTCTAGGAGTCTGTTGCTGACCAGTAAAATAGAGCTGTACTGATACTGTTATTCCAATAAGAAAGCTAGTGGAAACAAACTTCACAATTTCAGAATTACAGTTCCATTATTTACACACTCCCACACTAGAGATTAAGCTAGGAGGGAATCAGTCAGTGCAGTGGGCTGACATTTGCCTGTTTTCTGCAACCTCCATCTGGAAGACTGAGTTACAGGCCCCATCTACAAGCCGGTGCCTGGCGGCCATCACCAGGGACCAAAGGAACCCTTTTCTCCTGGCCTGGATGTAAAGGCAGGCTTGAGGTCCAAGTCAATCCAGGAAAACTCTTGGACACAGAACGCTCTGGAAATCTCATCCAAATCTTCTTTTCCGCTGTATTTTGCAGGGAGTATTTATCTTCAGTGCTGTCCAAATGACTCCGCTCACAATGGGAAGTTATGTTTTCCCAAAATGGGGCCAAGGGGTTGGCTGGTTCATGGCTTTGTCCTCTATGGTGCTGATACCAGGTTATATGGCATATATGTTTCTTACCCTGAAGGGCTCCTTAAAACAGGTAAGTCTCTCTTTTTCCTGACTGCATGATTTCATCTTGCAAGACCTGTGCACACTGATAAAAGATTGCTGGGCAGTTGTTTTCTACTATGTATTTCCTGTGGCCTCACTTGCTTAGCCCAGTTATTTTGCATTGAGCTGAAAAACATAAATACAAGTGCCAAACAGACAAAGGACAAGACGGTGTCATACCATCTGTTGCTAAACATAATTCACCACATTAAATGTGGTCCTTATCTCTGGGCTTTGACAGTTCCAGAGACTTTGCATCCCAGCTCCTTACACCTAGGAAACAAAGTAGCAGTTTACAAAATATGTAAATTTGTCTTTATTAATGCAAGACATACTGTCATGTATCAAGGCAGGCGATGCTCTAGGGAACTGGAGTCAAACCCTTAGGACTAAACCCACATAATTCTTGGTTTCCATGAGTCTGCTCACAGTGACCCTATTTAGCGTCTCCCTGCCATGCGATCAAAGATTTGAGCTCCTGTTCTGCATGACACCTGTTCTAAGTTACAACGGCTGCCTTGTGCTGCAGCTGAGAGAAAGTACATGTAAAATCTTGGCAGCATACTTTACGATTATGCTGCACTTCCCCTTAGTCTTTATTTAAGGGATTTCTGTGAACAGTTACTTCATTAAGAACATTAGAGGCCTTTTTCTCATTGCACTGTGCTCTTAGCCTCTCCCTGATTCCATTTGTTGAAAGGGGATGACAATTCCCATGTGAGAGAGGCGTTGCATGGCTTGAATCCATTTAGCGTGCTCAGAGAAATGCTTCTAAAAGAGTGTGAAATGTTAATAAGGTTATTGACCAGTACACAGTTTAGTAATCACGTACAATTGCTGTACTTAATTTTTTTTTTCAGTCTGTGTGCATCCTCAGTTTTCCCTCTCCAGCCAATAATCTCATTCTGTGTGTAACAGACACTTCTTCAGCACAAGTACTGAAACACGCATCTTTGTCCTCTATGATTGTGGGAACCAAAGATTGTCAAAATTAATTTGTCAGAATTTCTGGAATATTCTAAAATCAGCTGACAGAACCATCTTTGCAAAGGGACAGATGATCTTAAGCAGAATTGACGAGTAATGCCTCATGAATTGCCCAGATCTTGATCCAAATATTGGTCCTCAGCAAGTTTTAAAAGACTCAGTGATGCTTCAAAGAAGACTACAAAAAAATTCTGTTGTTTTGGGTATTTTTTCTCTGCTTGTTCTTAGCTCCTACATTTTGAATATCTTTCCCTTGGTCTTATGGAAACTTTTAAGTGCAAATTGAGGATTGTTGCTATAAAATATAGCTGCTTCTTGAGCAGAGTTGTATAAGACCACAGTAAAAGTTCCTCATCTCAGTCTTGCTGTGGATTAAGGTCTCATTTTTGAAAGCATTGACAAATGACCATTAGATAATAGGAGGAGCCTGCACCACTCACAGTCTTTGACAATCAAAACTGGGCTCTCTCGGTACGAATGTAAGCTAGGCAGATAAGCTTCATGAATGGAGAACACAAAAGGACTGGGAAAGACAGAATAGAAATAAAACAATCTTAAATACAAGTCTACTTTACCTGTTGTATCCTTGGAGGTAGTAACTCCCAGAAGCTGCAGCCAATAATCTCTAGTCCCTTCTGCTCCCTGGGGAGTTCACCATCATGTCTGAGATCCAGCTTTGAGTCCTTGCTGCCCACTGCAAACTTGCAGCCTCTATGCTTGGCCTGTGGACTCGCAGCAGAGTCCTCACCTGCCCCACGCTGCAGCCTCTCCTCATTTCTTTACCCTAGGCATGCTCAGTTGTTAATGCCTGGTGGCATCTACTATTTTGCATGTGGTCTTTTGACTCCTACTGTCATGTTCAGAACACAGCTAAAACTGTTTTTAGTATACGGGACTTACTGACTTTTTGGTCTCTTGGGGGGTAGAAGAATTTTTCATTTCAGCTCTAATGCCTAGACAGAAGTGTTTAGGATTGCCTTTAAAAAGAAAAAACTAAGCTTAGGAGTAGTTTTTTTTTACTGCCTCACATTTGTTGTTGTTCTTTAAACAGCGCATCCAAGTAATGATTCAGCCAAGTGAAGATATCACTCATCCTGAAAATGGGCCAGACCAGGCCCAACAGAGCAACTCTGCAAACAAAGAAGCCTACATCTAAACGTCTGTATTGTAAAAGTACCAATACTACTCCAGAAAAACAAAAAATACGGTTGAATATGACCACAAATTTATATCTGAGAATATAATTACCTACCTCTAGTGGCAAAAAAAAAAAAGAAAAAAAAAAAGAAAAAAGAAAAAAGGTCATCTCCACTATAAGGGAATCGCCATGGGTATGATCCAACCATTGCGCGAGCTCAGATGTTGACAGTGTTTTGTGTTCTCTGGCAATCCACAGACTGTTAATGTTTTTATCCTTTCACAATAATAGTTGCATATCTTGGAATTTGTAAATTGATGTGCCAAGACCTTTTTAATCTACCTTTTACCACGACTATTTGAAGTTTTGTGCTGCTGATTTTTAGTAGTTTTATCAATATTTCTTACCGCTGAATCCCAAGACTGTTATTTCTGACTTTGCAGGAGTAAAATTAAGTTTGGAATTGTTTTGTACAAAAGAATGAAGTATTTTGTAAACAAATGATTTCCACTGAAAAAGTCTGCCCTTAAAATTTGTTCCAGTCAAGGCCCTTTGAGGGAGAAGAGACTTCCTTCAATTGACAGTAGACACAGCCTTTATAAACATTCCTATTGCAAATTCAGTTATATGGCTATTGGCGGCAATACAGCATAGAATGGCTGTAAACGCTGTCTGTGCTTAGCCTTTCAGGATAACTTTCAAATAAGATCATAAATTTCTTTAAAAATACATATGCTGTTTCTTATAAAAAGAACGTATCTTTGTGAATCAATATGACATGAATCGCAGATGTTAGAGGCAAAAATATGACTTCTACCTTTTTTAGCAAAATGAGAAGTAATATCCAAGAGTTCTTAAAGATTCCCAGGAGTAAAAGAAACACAAAGTATTTGCAATTCAAGCTCAGAGTACTTGAGCTTTTATTATGCTGTTATTATTCTACTATTATTGCATGGCCACCAAAATAGAAACCAAAACAATGGCTTAAAGATTGAAGCTTATCATTGCAGTTCTAATTTAGGGTTTAATTCACAACTGTTCTTTTTAATCTGTTAAAGGACTTCACAGTTTCCAATAAGCAAATTACAAAATATGGATCGCTAGCACTTTGAAAACAGTTTTCTTTTTATTTACATATTATTTGTGGTGATGAAGGCATGAGGGAAAGCTATTTCAATAGTATAAAAATCTCCACTCTGGGCTCAGTCTGCATTTGCCACGTAGCTAGAAAGCCCATTCAGCTCATGGAAGTTTTTCCCTGTGTGGAAAATGCAGTGGTTAGCCCTGTACGGTATTTCTCGTTTGGCAGCTATATGACAGACACAAAGGATTACGGAAAATGCAGTAGTTGATGTTTGATTGTAAATGACTGTGACAGAACTGTGCAATGAAACATGCTTTTCAGCAAATTTTTGTGCAACGTACAATGTTAGATAGCACAATTTATGTAGAACTACTACGTGAAAAACATGTTAACTGTGAATGTTGGGTTTTTCGTTGTTTTTGTCTGAAGGTGACAAACGTTCTTGCAATAAGGTATTATTCTCAGAATGTCAAGCACATTATTGTAGAAATAATATATATATGTAATACACATGTATTTCAAACTACATCATAAAAATCTCAGAGTATGTTTGGTAGATTCTAAACTGTTTCATACATAGATCTATTGTAAAATATTATGAGATCTAAGCTACATCTGAAACGGCTATAGCTGAAATGCAAAAGTCCTGTAAGTCTTTGGGATTTAGAGGAAACCTGTACATCCTACACAAACATTATACATGATACATGCACATTATAATTGTGAATTTCATTAGACTAAGGATAAAAATTCCAACTTTCTCTTTATTGTTTAATGTAATCAAGTCACATGTTGTTCTAAGAAAAATGCAGTATTTAATGTTTGATTGTAAACAATTATGACAGATGTTTGACAGACCTGCTCTTTAGCAAAAAGCTGTACAAACGTATTATATAGCACAAAATAGTGTTGTAGAACTACTGTGTGTAAACTGTGAATAGCTGTATCTTTTTTGTAGTACTTGCCCTGAAAAAAAGATTATTGTATGATCATATATGCTTTTTGCAATAAGGAAATATCTGAACACCCAGCAAATCTATCTCTATATAAAAATATATATGTAATATATGCATATTCAAAAATATATACAGAGCCTGTTTAAAAGAGTACAGTATTATTTAGTAAATTGCAACCTGTTCTATGGACCAAATGTAAAATATTTATAAATTAAGATGCATTTTAAATGTCTATAAATGGTGTCATAATTAAAGCACGATTGTTATGTAAGTTTCCAAGAGTTTAGAGGAAAAAGAATAAAAGTTATATTATACATTAGATCCAGAATGTTGCAGTCTTTCATTGGACAAAACCAACGTGTGTTATTTTCTGTGAAGCAAGTTCTAAATGTTTCTATATTTTTATATTTAGAAAAAAATACCAAATGCCATATCACACTTGTGATGTGTATAATTCATCCATACTGCTATTTCTATACTTCAGTTAGTATGTGCACACATGATACAGAAAGCTTAAAAGGTGACAGTTAATAGCCCTACCTGGCATCCAGCTGCTTTAGGACTCCTGTAGGAAGATGGCAGGCCAGGACCTCTGAGCAGCCCTAGTAAAAAGCCTGGGGTTTAAAATAAACATTCCTCGGGTACCTTTCTGCTGATACTTTGGGCTATGAACTGCAGCACCTGAAGTCATTTCTAAGCCATTACTGAGGAGCATACCAGCCCAGGCAGAAGCCAATGGGCTAGTGAAACAGTGGCCTTAGACTAAACAGACAGATGATACATTTCTACAAAAAAACGCCACAACCCATTGTTCTCTGTCTCAGCTGCCATTAAAGTGTGAGACGATGTCAAGCAAGTGGCACAGCAGTCTGCCTTACATCTGCGTCTGTGCAATACTGCTGCGGAGCTGAATGCTCCTATGCTTTGAATTTAATTATCTAACTT